CCTAGTGTTATCCTGACCTCACAGTAGGAAAAAGAGAAGACAGTTTTCACTGTCTCAGACCTCACTCTTGTTTTCTTCAAAACATATATATAGCATTGTTTGAAAACATTAAAAGAGCTTTGAGTTCTTGTCTATGTGAAACTTCCCTGCTGCAAAGGTTTGGACAATGGAGTCTGTGCTCCTGCTCCAAGTGCAGGGCCCTGCTTTGTCTAACCAGGTCCAATAATTGAATTAAATCAATACGCAAAGGAAGAGCGAAAAAAATGATCTGCTCACCCCAGTTGGACAGGGCTTTTGTTTGTGCCTTAGTTTTAAGGTGTGGGTGGCAAATCATGACAAATGACTTTTCAGAGCTTTGCAGTCTATTCACTAATTAATTTTAACAGGCGCCAGCCGTGGTCCTCTCAGTGCTGCTGCTGCCATGGCTGTTCAGCCACAGCAAGCAGCATTTTGCCATCAGTGCCTGAGAGGTTCTCCTCTCTGCAAAGCCCCTGAATTCAGACCAGGCTCCCCTGGGAACATGCTCTGAGCTGAGAAGTCTCTGCGCAGGAGCAAAAAGAGTGCAAGAGAGCTGCCAGTCTGCTGTGTGTTCCTCAAAATATGCCATCGACAGCTCAGATCAGCCCCACTCAACATCTCATCAAATCAACCAGCTCTGTGCACTGCAAAAGCTGGGTCAGGGACAAATCTTCCTCCATACACAAATGTGATGGCCCTTGGTGGAGGCTGGACCCGTGACCCTGTCCTCAGCAAGGAGGCAGGCTCAGAAAAGGAGTGTGACAGAGAATGTGTGATGCTGAGAAACCTGTTGGAAATGAAAGTTGTCCTCCTGTCCTTCCAGTTGCTGAATTTAGGTGAGACATGCCAAACATGTGTGGGGAAAAAATTAGGCCTATAGGTGCTTGAAAGTAATTTTCCTTATGTGGTATTTAAGAATTTAAACTTCCAAACAGTTAATAGTGATCTTTGAAGGGTGCCCTATAAACTGTCTTCCAGTTCTTGATGAGATGGAATAATTTATTACTTCCATTTCTCTGATTAATGTAAAACTAGTTTCAAATTTGGGTTTTCCTTTAATATTTAAACTTCTCCATGTGAGAAACTAGAGAAGGGCAGGGTGATTGAGTGCCCCTCAGACTGACGTGGTATGTTCCCAAAGCAGGCCAAGCTCTGCTACTGGAGCTGATCAGCAATGAAAGCCATCAGGCACCAGCAAACCCAGCTTGTTTTAGGACTCTGCTCTCCAAAAGGCATGAACCTCGATGCCAGCTTGCCAGGAAAGGGCAGGGCCCCACAGCTCTGTGCACTCAGGCCAGGGAAGAGAGTTTCTTAAAAATTTACCTTGTGACTTGGGGATTTTAAGTTGTCAAGAACATCTCCCCCAAAAAGAGCTGAAAAAAGCCCGAAGTTGGTGTTATTCAGGGTAAACTGCATGGTAGGGCTTTTTCCTAAGAAATCAATTCATTTTGAATAAGCTTTCTATTATTCTTTTACGTCATTTCTGCAGAGTCAAAGTCAGACAAAATCATGGTGGTTTTTGTCTTAGTCCTATACCATGTAGGAAACTGAGCTTCAATATTTAGAGTAGCCATTCCCTGAGCTGGTAAAATGTATCACACTTTCTGTGTCCTCCATGAACTATGTCAAAGCTAGAGCAAATGGAAGGAACCATCTGTGATGGTGTTGGCTTGACCACTCAAGTTGCCCCTCTCTGGTTCAGGAAGACATGGGAAAAAGAAAGGTAAGCAATGGTGTAGTGCACCAGTAGTGGAGTGGAGAACCCTTAAATATCTGCAGTGATAAAAATCAGAGCTCAGACAAGAGAGAGTCTGTTTTAGAGAGAATTATTTATTAGAAGATAGGAGGTTGTTACGTACAGATTCTGTCCTGCAAAAGTGTCCTGGTCACAGATATGTCGGGGAGACATTTAAACCTGTTAGAGCTGTCTCTTGTCTCCACACAGAGATACTCAAGACACAGCAGAGCTCTGCCAGACCTGGCTCTCATCCTGGTGCTCAGCTGGGGAGAGGCCTGGCGTACCACAGCATCCCTGAGCTCATTACACCGTCTTTATTCCACGGGAAAACCTGGCCCGTGGGCTGGAAACCAGCGGTGGGGACACCAGACAGTGCTGCAGAAGGGGCACCGTTCTTCCCTGGGGTAACTTAGAGATGTTTTCCCCAAGCAGGGAATTGTCTTCCATCGTGCCAGCGATGAACATGGCTGAGCAAGTGGCTACGGAGATACAACCATGCTATGAGGTAGCATGAGGTAAATTGAAAGAAAAAAAAAAAGAAAAGAAAAAAGAAAGATCTCTGTGATACAGAGAGGAGCTCTTCCCACCTTCCCTCATCCCAAAACCAGGCCAAGCAGGCAATGCCTGAGCCCCCTGCAGAGACCTCCGAGAAAGCAGCTCTGACAGGTGGATCACAAAAGGACAGCAATTTTGCCTTATAACAGTTGTGCTCCTAGCAGTATTCCTCACAATGTCACGGGTGACCTGTTTTCTTTTGGGTTGGCAGGTACTATTTGTCAACCTTTTGTTAGGTCTCTGTGCAGTGGCTCAGGGCTTTGCCACGTGAAGCCCAGGTGCATCAGAAAGCTGCTGTGCTGGTTTTGCACCTCTTGAGCCAACTCCAGGCCCGTGCATGCTGCACAGTGTGGGCAGCATCGCTGGAGAGAAACGGCAGATGAAAGGCATCAGCCATCACATTGGCAGTAACAGAAGGGCCTGGGAGCAAACCTTCTGTAGATGGTTAGTGGCTCACAGCCAGCATAGGGCTTGGTTTCATACCAGCCCCTGGGCTTAGTCCTTATTCCAGGTGTGCATCTTACTGTACTCTGCCACTGTACATGTGGCAGAGAAAAGTGGGTCAACCAGTGGCTGTATTTTTTCTTTTGATAGACAACCATCAACATGGAAATTTTTCCAACATCTAGCAGATTTCTTAAAGGAAGGTATTATCCAGGAGTCATCTGTTTAATTTATGAGTGCTAAAGGATAAATAAATACTCTATGAGTTTGGCTCCTTAAGCTGGTTCTCTGCTGAAGCCATGTTCTTGTCTACCTAAGGGACTTCGCTGGCTGGGTCAGAACATCACCTTCCCTTCACCGTCTGCAAAGGCACATTTAACTCTGTTTCTTCTTATGATATTCTTGTCTTTGGCTCCAGAGACTACATGTAAAACCCTGGTATAACCCCCCATTTTGCTCATAGTGTACATGAGTTTTTGTCTACTATCAGGACTCAGGAATACTCAAGAGTATTCCCCTTTCAGTCCACAATAATCAAGGAAAAACTATTGTTGGAACAGGTTTGTCAGAAATTTAACATCATTATCAGAAACAGCTGTTTATGGCTCATCTATCACCATTTTTTCTCATCTCAATCCAAGAGTGGCCTTGGTTAGCTTGGTATATTAAAAACCTTTGAAACTAGGTACTTGGCAGTGAACGCTCACAGCTGATGCCCATGTCAATATGAAAGATGGGTCAGACTACAGACCTCAGAAGGGACAATTTGTGAGACTGCAGGTGACCTTCAAGGTTGGAGGTACTGGGAATGGGGAACAACAGTAAGACTGCAGCTGTATAGCAAAGCAGCAGGCCTCCAGTTATCTTTAAGATAGTAAATGCTCAGCATTGAACTATCTTTGCCACAAATATGCCTATTTTTTAATCATGTTTTATGTTCCTAAGGCACCTGGACTCCTTATTTTGGAACATGCATCCCAATAATTTTGATGTTTGGTGTTGAGAGGATTAGAAGAAATGTTCCACAAGGGCACACCATACTTTTAGCTGAAGGGAACAGATGCTCCAGACCCACTGAGTTATCAAAACCTCTGGAGCAATTACAGCCACATCTTCAATTTTTAAGGATTTCCATGGCATTGGTTGTGCTCCCACTTTCTTCATCTTTTGGAAAGGGACCAGCCAAGGACCTCCAGGCCTTCTGAAGGACAGCAAGATGGTGGTATTTGGGGACGGCAACACCCTGCTCCAATATGGGAGCTCAGCAAGTCCGAGCTCTTTGCCTGCTATTTACCACAAAACAACAATTCTGGGGGTTTGATCTGAAGCATAATCTCCTTCCCTCCTCTCTCAGCCCTAACAATAAAAAAACTCCTCATTGTCCCAGCCCGGTCTGAGGTCTACTTCCAGCTTGGTCAAGTGGGAGGCATACAGAGCAGACAGCAGAATACCTGATTTTAATTTCAGACTAACATTTATAGGTAGCTTTTTGCCTTCATTTCCATTATTCCCTTTCAGAATTGGTTCTTCAGCCACCCACGATGAAAACTTGTTCCTCCTAGGACTTCTTGAAACACCTTGATGAGTGAAGCTCACCTGTCAGAGCTGCCTGGATGTTGCAAATGAGGAAAGTTCTCACTGATGTTTTTAGCGAGAAAAAGCCAGAGAGAGGGATGTTCTCCCTCCAGAGCACGTGCGCAAAGGCAGGAGGCATGGGAGCCTTTTTCCTTGAGACCAGATAAAGCAGGTCCCTAAGTGTACCTGCGGTGATGCCCAGCAAACACTGAGCATCCTCAAGGTGCCACCTTGGCACAAGCAGCGCTTGACTTACCGCATCTCTTTGGGACCCCCTGGGCCGAGGGCTCTGGGAGGTGTGCGGCGAGGTAGCGCAACGTGGCTGCACTAAGGGAAGTCTGAGAGGGAGGGCAGGCACGGAGAAACTGGAGAAGCTCAAAGCAGAGGAGTGCAACTCACTGGTGCTCCAGTAGCAGGGCTGTCACCAAGACTTTGTGGCACATTTTAATAGTCGCTATGTTTTGAGTATCTCAGCTGGGCATGTAAGACCAGTTCTAACAACATCCAAAAGAAAGAACATGTTCTCAGTTGTATAGTGCACAGAATTACAGGGGAATAACCCATTACACAGAAAGATTTCGAATGTTAATTGCAGTATCTTTTATAATTTTAACTGCCAACCCTTTCCCTTGAAATTAATCACGGATGTACATCATATAATCAAACAAGCTTTTTTAAAAAGTACATCTTAATATAAATAGTTTATTCAGTGCATGGTTGTGTATACAACAAATAATAAACAACTCTTTCGTACAAGGCAGAAAGCTGCCTGTACAGAACTATGTCAGTTTTGGAGCACAGAATCCAACGATGATTAATGCACAAAATCTTACACATCATGCAACTCTATGCCAATATTCCAACTTTCTCCCATGCAACAGACATGATGACCTAAATGGAAACCTAACTACATTTTTTTAAACAATTGTTTCCAATAGCATGTATAAGTATATGTTGTTTAGGGGTAACCTGTCCTAACGCTTCCTCCTAGACAATATTCACGTGCCCGTTACAGTGAAAGAAGGACTTTTACAAATAAGACGTTTCTTATAAAAAAATTAAGTCACCTTAATTCCACAGTTTCTGTCTTTAGAAAAGAAGCCACAACAATAGTTTAACATGACACACAAAATGGAATTAAGAGAAATCTACACTGGAGGATAATTTTATCCCTTTCTGTTAGCTTCTGCTTGGGATAACAAAACAACTCAATTCCTACAGACTGGGGTTAGCACAAGAACTTTACCAGAAACTACAAATCTATAAAAATTTATATTTCATTGTGTTTAAAACCACAAGAACACTGTTTGCTTGAGCCTGAGACACCAACTCTCAGTTCCAACCCTGAATTTTTAATTATTTTTTTTAAAGACATAGCTTTAAAGACCCATTGGAGTTCAGAAATCAAAAAGTTGCACTATTCCAAATTAAAGGATACATCTTTTATCAAGCCTTAGATATAAAACGGTAAGCCAAGGAAACAACAGAGTTTACATATTTGTTTTTTGTTTGCCCCTATAAAACATACAAGCATTAAAATTTCCGTTGAAGAGCAAAAGTGGTCTTTTTTCTGAGTTGGAAAGCAAATTCTTATCAGCAGTGAATGCTGTGAAATGTTTTTGTTTTGTATTCCACAAAGCATAGGAGAGAGAGAGAAAGAGAGAGAGAAAAAGAGAGAGAGAGAAAGAGCTGGACATTTCTTCTCCAAGATTTATTCCGCAGTTATGTTTGCTGGCTATCCAAGTGCCTTGTGATATGCACAAGCATATTCTACATTATTGGGGTATATCCTTTGACAACCAGTAGATCTAATGGCTGATAAACAAGTGACCTATGCAAGTTCGGTGGCTTGTCCTGGGCAATTGAACGTTTGGATGAAAGACTGCTAGTAAGAATTCAACTGCATCCAGAGGTAAGGTTCTGTTTAGAGAGCACTTGGCTTGCCTGAACCTGGCTACGTTGACTCGTTTTGGCTCATGGATTTACCCCCATTTAGCACTCCTGAAACACTTCTGCTCTTTGTTGGGGTCCCACTTCCAGATCTTGAGAACTCTGTGAGATCGTGGAGAGAAGGCTCTTTGTACATGGCCACTGCAAAGCAAAAGAAAGGCAGCATGTCAGCACGTGTTATGGGCTACTCAGTCTGTTGGTACAAAGTCTGCCTGCAAAATGTGGGGATTTTTTCTTTTCTTTCAGCAATATGCAGCGTAAGGAGTGAATGAAAGAAACATGGCAAGGAGATGTCTTCCATTTCAAACACTCCTAAGAACCTCTGAGCTCCTCTTCAGGGAAATGACATTTTAGAGAAAGGAAAAACCACAGCTCCCTCCCTCTCCCTCCTACCCACTGCACTTAAAAAACTCTTCAAGATAGACCTAAACTGATATAAATCAACATTTCCTTACTAATGGTGACGTAGCACTGTCGACAGCTGTGATTTAACCTGTTACTTGTATGTGTAGCCTAAGCAAGTGAGTGCAAAAGTGGATTTTTAGTCTTCTATTTCCTTTGTTTTCACATACATTAGAAGTGAGGATGAACCTCAACATCAGTAGTCTCAAACCTAGTCCTAAATGTAGACTGCTAAACTAGTCCAGCATGCACCCAGGGCTACACACCTTTGAGAGATCCTCTCTGATTTCAAAATGACACTGCCTTAAAAGGCTACTTATAAGAGCATAATCCAGAAGTAGAGGTTCCTCTTCCTCTTAAGGAAAGAGCATATGGAAGCTGGTTCTTCTGGAGAAAAGGGGCACTTCCATACATCAACTGAGATCTCTCTCTTTGCATTGACCAAAGAGGGAGCCAAGCCTGATGACAGTCAGATGCTTCAGTTAACTGGGATGACTCTAGGGCTCAGCTTTTAATACACAGCAGTATACATATACCACATGCATTATTACCTTTAATATCACATGCTGATGCCACATTAATTGCAGTTTAATAAGAACCACACTTTAGAGCTTTATCGTGGGCAAAAATAGACAAACATCCCACAACGTAAAGCACAGATTGACAAACTATACAGCTGATGGCCTGTGAGCAGGTGGTTGAGCCATTCCAGGTAGAGCCTTTGCTACCTATAATGGAGACACTGTGGACTTTGGGCACAAAGAAACTAATACACATATTTGGTTAGATTAGAGAAAAGCAGAGGTAGTGTAGAGAAACCTAAAATAGCAGCTCTGGTTAGATTAACAGTGTGTTACAGAACATTATATTCGTGTTGTGTAAGTAGCTGAACCCTTCAAATACGTATGCACAGCAATTAAACATCTCTGACACAGGATAATGTCAGGTCAGATAGATGGAGCAAACCCAAGCAATTACCTTTTAATGGTTTTGGAAGAAAGTGTGCTGCAGGTTTATTTTTCTTCACGTGGTTTCCTTTCATTATTTCTCCTTCCTTGTTAAGACCCAAATACCAACCCCGGCCAGACTGTTGCTGTCTGTAGATCATTGAAGAATATGTCACGTAGTAATTTTCAAATACCGATTCTTTGAACTTGCATTCAGGTGTAAAATGTTCCTGTAAGAAAGTAACAGATCAATATGTGCAGTGCTGAATCTCACATCAGTTAATGAAAAAGCATCCAATATTCATTGCTTTCCCAACGGCTAACAGACATACCTCTTGCCTTCCACTATCCACTTATGAAACATGGGACCTAAAAGTATTAACAAAAGAGTAACACAGTTTGAAAGCTGTGAAATGACGCTGTGAGCAGCTCGAAGTAGCATAACAAAATCTTTCTGAACAATGAGTAAAATGTCTAAGTGAAGAATTATTGATTGATGCAACTAATGGACATTAGGCAGACACAGCCCTGATGTCAACCCCAAGGGACCAGCTGTGGTCCAGCCCCACAGGCAAGAACTGAGGCCACGTAATGCCTTTGTGCATTCACTGCTGGCCTTAACTGCTCATGAGGAAAGTGCAATAAAAATTCAAAGCCAGGATGCCGTGAGTAAATGGTCGTCTCTTACTAACGCAGCAATATTAAGTTAGTTTGTAGCAGCTGCCTCTTTGGTCTAATGTGTGCTCTTTTCTCTGCCCAGCCCATCATCCACTGAAAGCTCAGCTGTCAGAGACCCATGCAGACATTAGCCTCTGCTCTGGGAATGGCAAGGGTTAAATGGTACCACATCTGAAAGCGTATAGGATCAAGCTTTAGTCTTCATGTTGAATTGCACTGCTTCTTTTGGGGAGATGGTATTGGGCTAACAGTTAAAATAAAGAGCAATAATCCAGGAGAGAGACTTTTTCGTCCTGCCAGTGGTGTGACTGGCTTTCACTGTGCAATGGTCTTGACTCAATCAATAGCTTTTGGCACTATTGCCCAGATTCAAAAAAGGAAACATCAGTGTGGGAGGGACCTAGGACCAAAATGTCAGTTCTGACAGCACCACTCAGCTGCTTCCTAACGCCTCTGGGTCCTTCAGGTTTTTTAACATTAAAAATTCTGACAATGTCACACCTATGGACCTAAAAGTCCATAAAATATGAAAGAGGGAGGGCTTGGTCTGGTGATGCAATGTTAATATCACAGCCTTGCCTGTCACACTGCACAGCAGCCAGCTGTTTGCTGGTGTTTCCTTGTGCAGGCAGCCAGCTTCAGTGGAGCTGCCCTTGTGCTTAAAGTATCCTACAGCGGTGTGAAAGAAAGGAGGAAACATTGTGCTTGCATAATGGCTGTAATTTTGATTTTAAAAAAATAAAGGAAATTAAATGTCTCAGGACCTTAAGATGTTCTTATCTAGTTTCTCAAATGTTCTTGTGTGAGAAAAAGATGGTATTTTTTAAAAAAACCTCCCACTGTGCATTTTTTTTTGCACATCTTTTGCCATTTTGTCTTCTTATAGGAGAAAGAAAAAGCCTCCCATCCTCTGGCTGGTGTTTGCTTCAACAAAGAATGTGAAGTAAGTAATTTCCTTCTTTCTTTCTTCAAGCTAATTGGCTGTTATTTAGTTAATTGACAATTGGTTTCAATTGCTGTCAAATGGGGACAGTCCCTGCATTTTTGCAAGATTTCTAAATAAAAGCCTTCTATCCCTGTTCCTGCCCAGTGCCAGCCATGTTAACAAAGACTATTGCAAGTGTATCATCCAATTAGCAGCAAAATGGAAAACTACAGTGCTCCCACCGGAAGATTATGGTTTATGTACAGTAATTTGGAGCTGTTTTGGGTACAAAAGGCCTGCTTGTACACAGCAGCAGAGGGTCAGATTGCAAACAGAACCACAACATTTACTCCAGCTCGCTTAGGAAGCAAGTGAACCTCGGTATGAACAGCGGGAGTCAACAGCCTGCAGAGTCTCTGGAAATGGAGCAGGGAGACAAACAGACACTAAAAGACTCCTTCACCCCTGACTTTCCCCTTGGCTGGGAGGTGTGTGATAACAAGCCCTGTGCTGCTGCAGGTGAGTTTGCAATGGAGCTCATGTACAGCCAGACACCAGCCTGACAGCCACCCCAGGAGCATCGCAGTCAGCAATCCCCTCCCCGGAGCATCCCGCAATTCCGCAATAACCACCACAGCGGTGATTTCTCACGACAAACAGTGGGGCATGGACACAAAGACACCTCTCTCTAAGGTGCTCAGTTACTATGACAAATTCCCTCCCAATTTTTCTGGCACTAAAGCAGACCAACTCATTCACCTGCCTGGCCTGGCACAGAATCGTGCTCCTTTGTCTTGACTGACATCTGATTAATTCCTTGGCTATGGCTGCAGCTTCAGAAAGGTGCTGCACGGTGGGAAAGGCATCCTCCTTGCCAAATAAGAGTTGATCCCACATGAACTGTTTGCAGAAGCTGAAGGGCTCTGCTTGTTTCTGAATACTAAGCAGCTGCTTACCTTTTGCAAGTGTTTGTTCCCACCCATCACTTACTTACCTTTTATTTAATTCAACGAGTGTCTTTTCTACTCATTAAAAAAAAAGAGTGGAGGAGCAGAACTGTGGAGGGAAGCTCTGAATGAGGAATGCTAGCAAATTCGTTCCTGATTGGGGAGTATGACAATTAAATTGTACTTTTCTGAGCTTAGCAAGTCCATGTGCCAACTGAAATGGGTACGGACAGGGCCACTATCAGCACGTCAGTTCAAAATACAGTGCAGAGCAGCACGTGCAACATGGCCATTATGTTATCTTTACTGGCAAATTCTTTAATAATTTACTGAGGAAGTGCAAGTTAACACTGGGAGAGGGCTGAGTGCCCCAATTAAAACTGATCTTTTCCAGTACATATAGTCAATCCTATTGAAAACTTTTAAATATAAATAAGCATTGAATTCTAAGACCAGTTTTTTCCTGTCTCTCAGCTGTCCTCTTTTGTCCATCTTTGCAATGAAAATAATTCAAATGAGTTCTGATAAGTGCATTGCTATGAATGTATTGTTACACAAAACATGAAAAATTGGTATTTGTGTAAAATAATATTTCAGTCTCAGCTGATACCAGAATTCAGGGATGATGGCACATACATGACAGTAAATTGCACTCACCCAAGCCCTTCACACATACATCCTAGCAATGAATGAATGAATGAATGAATAAATAAAAGTTAAAGAAAGTGCTGGACTCACTGAAGTAATGACTCAGCCATGCTTAAGTAAGCAAGAAGATGAACTGTCAGGAGCTTCTTCTTGGTTTTGAGCTGATCAGCTGAACTGAGCTAACATGAAATGTTCCTTCATGAAAAAGATGTGCAGCTGCATTAAATATGTCAAAAAGAATTAAAAAAGAATAATTTGGTGTATGATAATATGGTAAAAAGGCCTTGTAGCATACACTTAGAGTGTCTGTATTTCCAGGCAGCTGACTAGATTACATCTAAAATAATCCAGTCTCTTCTATACAAATAGTGTGTTATAGGTCTGCCAAGGCTGAAATCTAAAATACTGTAAAAGCAAAGGTGGAATTCTTCCTGCTCTGGTTGTGCAAAAGCCATGTTTCAAGCCAAAGACCATTGAAATTATCAGCCAGCACACCCACCTACACTGCAGAACTGACTATTAATTATTCTGGCTCCCAAATGATTGTAATGCAGGCAGAAAATGGGAAATCTGCTTTAAAGAAAGGTATTTGGTGTCTTCAAGTTTCTGTCGTATTACAGAAGCCTCTCGTAAGGATGACTGTAGGCACGTAAGGAGGGCAAAGATGCTTGTTCTCTGCTATTTATGGCACACTGTATTTGCATCGTGGATATTATCAGCAGGGGACATCACTGAATACTTTACAGAGCAGTAAGTTTAAGTCATTAAGTCAATATTGAGTTTGTTAAATGACTGGATCTCACCATAGGTTGAATGTCCTGCAGCTACCCTACAGCAGCTGACCAGAACAATCAGAAATTTTATTCAGATGGATTTAGTGCTAGGTGCATGAATAAACAACAGCAACAAAAAAACAAAACCAAACTTTGAAAAGTATTCGGGAAAAGTACTGGGTACTCAGGAAACTTGGAAGATGTTCTTATATATTGAGCATGTAATTATGTTTCATGTGATCAATGACTTTGTCTGCTTATGGGATTTATTCTTTATTTTCTCCACTTAATGAAAATTGGATTTTTTTTCCCCTTCATATCCTGATTTCTTTCAGGACTATAATGTAGCCCAGGATTCCATTCTATAATCATGAATTTTTGAAGGAGCCTCTTTAAGGCTCCAGAGTAGTGATTTTCTGCGTCACTGAGCCTGCCTTTTTTTATTAACAGAGATTGATTTTCTCCATCTTGGCATGTGAAGTTCCAGGGTGTATCCTCTGGATCATCACCCTATAATGTGCAGTGATATCAACAGCACAAGATGTGAATACTTCAACTTTAACGTTATCAGAAATAACAGCTTTTAGATCACCAGTGGGAGAAGACTCTCTGAAGAAACCGATATTTTGTGAAGCCACCAAAAGCTGTTTGCTATAGGAATGGAAACTTACAATTATCTTGAAGCAATTTATTCTGGAGCTGATATATATATCTGATTCTGACATATTACAGTTCCCATAGATAGGTTCCAATCCCGCAATATTGTCCATTTTGCTTAAATTTAGCTATTTTGAGGAATCCTAATGATTTTAGTCGGAGCAACTCAGAATATATGAACGCATACAGGTCTTCTAGGGCTGTAATTAGGAAGATTGACCATTTAATTGTGACTGTATCCAACAGTCACCAGTCATAGCAAAGACATGTTCATCAAAAAGCTGTGTTGGCTTCTGAAAACAGATGCTGTATCATTACAATGAGGAACTTCATTTTGGCCATGTCTATTCCAGGTGAGTTCTCGTAGAGACATCATAGGTAGCACAAAGCCCTCAGGAGGTGCTTTAAAGCTGAACTAACTGCTGCTTGAACAAAAAACTACTGCTGAACAGGCATTTGTGGAAGGCTGTAATTCTCCTTGAGTTCACTGCAATCTGAAGGCATGTGTACCGGCCATGCGACCATATAATGAAGACATTAAATTCAAAATTATCTAGAAAAAATATACTAAACTCTTTCATCAGGAAACTTACTTAATAGCA